CTCCCTGCCTCCTCTCCCCCTCCTCCCTGCCTCCCCTCCCCCTCCCAGTATCACTCGTGCGCCCATTCTCACACACAGCACTTCTGCACACTCATCCCCATGCTGATGTCAGGACCACACAAGTCACCATCTTGCTGAAGGCCCAGGATCTTTAATATCATTTATAAGTGGGTAAACTGAGGCTCAGTGTGTCATGTGCTCATAGCCAACTGACTTAGGCTGCACCTGCTACCACACGGCAAAGCTGAGACCTGGCCTCAGTTTCCCCACATCCACCCCAGCCGCTGGGCATCTTCGGACTGGTTCCCACACCCAACTTGGTAGGAATTAACCCCCAAGGCAGGCAGGAGGCAGCGGTCACAGGGCCAGCAGGGCAGGGCCCAGGGCTCTGGAAGATGAGACCTGCCCTGGGGTCCTGAGTCAGAAACACAGGAGAGTGACAGAGAAGGGTTGGCAGCACGGGACGGACGGTCACAGCCAGGCCCAAGGCTCCCACACATGCCTGACCAGGCCCTGGGGTAAGAAACCAACTTTATGCCGCCACCCCCCTCCCCGTGCATGCACACGCGTGTGTGTGTGTGTGTGTGCGAGTGCAAAATCCCATCCTCGCCTTGCCTTGCTTCCCTCCCCATCTTCCCACGAGCCCTGGCTTCTACCTGAGACTCAGCCTGAGAAGCGTGTCCGCCTGCTGGCAGCCCGTCGCCCGCCAGGCCCGGCCCTCACCTTGTTGCTGTCCTCCCGCTCACAGGCCACGTGCAGAGCCGTCCTGCCCCCGTCCTCAGGGAGGGGTGTGTGCGCGCCGTAATAGGCTCGGGGAGGGCCTGGCTCATGGCTGAGCTTCAGGCTAGAGGGCAGCAGGTCCACCTGTGTAAAATGGAGGGCTCTGCCAGCGCCCACAGACCTGCCGTGTGCCCACGGGAACAGCAAGGGAGCGAGGGAGCTGCCTCCCCAAACTGTGGGTCTGGAGTCTCACCCCGCGAAACCCTCTTGAAAACCGATGCCTGGCTTTCTGAGTGCTTGTCCCCTGCACGCCTGTCCCCTGCGCGCCTGTCCCTGAGACACCCCAACATCCACAGGGGTCACAGCCATAGTGCCCTCCCCTCCCGGGCCCCCCTCACTGAGCGGCACACACCCATGTCCAGCATGAACATGTGCTCAGTGGCCTCTGTCATGTGCCAGGAACTGGACAAGGGAAAAGGAAAGCATCGGAGCCCCTGCCCTCAGGGCTGGACCCTGTGGAGGAAGGAAGACGGGACCTCAGAGCCCGTGATGAGGGTCTTTTGGGGGGACAGGATGGCTTCAGCCGGGAGGAGGCCCTGGGGACATGGAACCGGCCTCTGTCTGCAAAGACAAACCTTCCAAAAGGCAATGGCAGCCTGCGACGTGTCCTCATGGGGACCCCGTGCTCTGTGGCCTGCCTGAACAAACACGTTCTTCCAATCAACCGTTTTGGCCTCTCGATATCAGAAGCCCACTGGCTAAGGCTGGCATCCGGACGGGTTTTCTGTGCAGGATCTCCACTGCTGGGGCCTCCAGCCAGCAGGCCCTTCGGGCTCGGCATAGGGCATGACTCCATCCAGGCTTGCCCGGCCAAGGCCCCACACCCCCGCCGCGCATCGCGAGGCACACACCTTGCCGGGATTGTAAGTGTCGTCCTCGTCGGCTGCCTTGGCATCCACGTCGGTGATGGCGTGCAGCAGCAGCTCCACAATCCGGACACCCTCCTCCCCAGGAAGGGCTGCGGCGATGTGGAGTGGTGTCAGGGCGCCCAGCTGTGGAGGAAACACCAGGGCGGGGTGAGGCACATGCTCGTGGGGAGAGACAGGTGAGGCACCTGGGGGACCCAAATGCCAGGGACATGGCTGAGACTCCAAGGGCACCATTCTCAGCCTCACCAGCCCCACAACATGCAAGATGCTGGTCCCTGAAGGCAGCGTGGACACAGCTCCCAGCACACTGAACAGACCACACCTGCTGCTTCCAACACCTAACACACCCGTCCACCAGGGCCACGGGTGAGAAGGCTTGCCCCGAACCAGTGTGATTTTAAGCCACCATCCACACGCTCATCTAAGAAAAGCCCCTCCTTGCCCTTGCCAGGCCCATCAGCTCCTGTGGCCTCCTGACTCCATCCCCTGACCTGTCCATTCTCCATCCAGTGTCCCCATCCATCAGCCGACAGCATCCGTAGATGGCACCCCGACTCAGCAGTGACACAGAGATGTTCATAGGGGCCGTAGCCTCTGAAGGCAGCCCTGCCAGCCCAAGGGAGAGCCCGGCTGGGAATGGACAGTGGACCTTGGGTCAAGAGATGCTCCCCAACCCCTTAAAGACCAGCCTCGCTCAAACAGGAAAGAGAAAAGCACCCAGGAGGGCCCCCTGAGGGAGAGCCAGAAGAGCCTGGATGGTAGAAAGAGCCACCAGCATGGAGACCAGTCAGAGGAACTTGGGGAGAGCAGCTGGGTGTGCCCATGCAGGCCCATCCACCAATGACCCAGGAAGATGGCTGGGGCATCCGAGGCAGAGAGCAGGGCAGGGTCCAGGCAGCTGCTGACTCCCAGAAGAAGCGGGACACTCCCAGCTTGACAGCAGCCCCTGGGACCCCCACACAGCCCAACACCCACACCCTCAAGCATGACCAGGGCAGCAGCACCTACGCCCAGCAGAGGCATGCAGCAAGAGGAGAGAAACGGGAGCACAGTGCAGGCATCGCCTGTTGTGGGGAAGGCCGGTGCTGCAGGCGACAATCTACTGACCCCAGAGAGACGCAGACCCACGCAGCCAAGGGGAGAAAGGGCAGCCCGCCACTCCGTGGCAACCGCAGCCCCAGCCACCAGGAGGCACATGGGGCTGTGCGTTCCTGACAGTCAGCTGAAGGCCACACACTCGTTACACGTCATGTCACCCCTAAAACAGCAGCAGCAACGGCAACAACTGAGCTAGTAACAGAACCGACCCAGCTGAGGCATGCATCAAGAGACGATTAAGCTGAGGAAGTTCCCAAAAACAGCAGAAGCACAAAGACATAGAAAACAGTGCAGAACAAAATCTGGGGACATGAGAGAGAGCTGGAGTTCTAACATCTCTCAGGTAGGAGCAGAGACATGGAGAGAAATACTACAGAAATAATACAAGAAAACTTCACAGACTAGCAGCTCTGACCCAGTGCTAAGCTGACGTAATAGGGAGGGGGGAATTAACCCTTACAAAGACACAGGAGTTCAGGGGGCATCACACTTCTTATTAAGACCCACAAGTCCTGGAAAGGCAGAAGACAGTGAGGCAGGACCTTCAGAGGTCTAAGGGAAAACAGTTTGGAACCCAGAATTCTGTACCCAACTAAACTATTATTCAAGCAAGAGGGTAAATGGTGGCATTTTCAGCAACATGAGGGCTCAGTTTCCCACCACAGACCCTCTCCAAACAGATGGCGGATGACACTCTGCCAGGAGCACAGAAGGAATCCAAGGGGAAGTTGCAAGGCACAAAGTTCAATGAAGAGCAAAGAACCCCCTAACTTCCAGGTCCAGGTAAGGCTGGCAGTTAGAGTGGGACCTGGAGCCAGGATCCCGAGAAGGTGCTGACGTTCTGCTCTCGCTGAGAGAAGCTTGTTCCGTCTGCTCTGCGTTTCCTCATACATTAATATTAATAAGATCCCGTTGGGCATAAGTGTATAACCAGGTTGTAGAAAAACTGTGGTTCTGCCCAACCTGAGATGTAGGCATCCTTTCTCTGACAGCCAAATCCCGACATCTGGCGGTGACACATTGTGGTGTTTGCAGGAAAACGTGGCTCTTGGAGATACACTGTGAGCCCAGTGCTGCCACCAACGTTCAGTATGAACATTTACATACTTGGCAATTCTGTGAAATACCAGGCATTATGGGAATTAACCAAGGAGCTGCAGCTCTGCTACAGCGAGCATTGCTGTGCCCGGAGCCTTGACAGTGCGGCTGAACAGTGAGGGGCCTTGCGCCCCCAACAAGCAAAATGTCCACAGGAAAAGGACTCCTGATGGCTTCAGACCCCAGAACAAATGCTCAACCCCACCACCAATAAAAGAAATGCAAATTTAGGCCATGCTGAGGTGTTGTTTTCCAACTGTGGAGGGGTGGCAGCTGTGCCTGACAAGGCTCCAGGGGCGTGAATGCCAGTCTTGCTGGTGGCGTGTGGCAGGCAAGTCCCAGGAAGGCCACTTGGCACCTGCTCTCCTAATTCCTAACACATGGGGTCAGCAAGACCACTTTTATTCTTGTAGATAGAATTGCACATGTTCTGCAGATGTCTGGGTCGATTTCTGTGTGGCACCTTTGTCATTTCGGTAGTGATGCATTCATCTGGCCCCTGTGGATGCGACAGTTGATTTACACATGTTTCTAACAGGTGTTTGAAACTGGCCCCATCATCCCGTAGAACTGATGTTTATGGTTTCTTTTGAATAAACATAGAAATTGACCCTCCCAATCTGAAAACTTGAGAAGGTTAAGTTTATCTCAGCTTCTTTCTCAGAAAACCAACCCTCAGACCTCCCAGACAGCATCAAAGAGCTGAATGCACCAGATCATGGCATCCAGAGAGTGAGACGGCAGATGTCCTTCCCTTCATGACTGCCTCATCTGCCACCTGAGTCCTGCTAGCCAACTCCTCTTCCTCACTCTGCCTAATTCATGTTTTCCCAAACACGGTTACACTTCCTCCTTGCAACATAAACCCCTAATTGTAGTCAGCTGTGGAGATGGATTTGAGACTGATCTCCCATCTCCTTGGTGGCAGCACCCTATTAAAGCCTTCTTCCCTGGCAATACTCATCTTAGTGGTTGGCTTTCTGAGTGGCAAGCAGCAGGACCTAGATCAAACTCCTGCTGTTTCGGTAACAGATTTTGGTTCCCTGACCAGGAACGCATTGCTCATGGCTCAGCTGCTATGGGCTGAGTTCTGAAGCGCCCCCCGCCCCTTCAAGCAACTGCGTCACGCTTTTTTGGCTGAAGACAGATTCTGATCTTTCTCCTTGGTCACACCACTGCCAGCCCCAGCAGCATTCCTGGCTGCCTAGGAAGAACAGTCTTTGAAATTTGACATTTGTGTCCGGGTGGGTGACTATCTTTTGTGGACACCAGACAGCAGGATCTGCTCCCATCAAGTTGGGGAAATTCCAAAAGAATTTCCATTTGCATGTTGAACAGGCCTGACTGACTGAGAGAGTAAGCACCCGACTATTTCAGTTGGGACACCCTTGGGGCGTGTTTGTTGCTGCAGCAGTTGGATTGTGTTTTGGTGATTGTTTGTGTGTGTTGACAAAGTCACGGGAAATCAGAATAAACTCATCTTCTTTTTGGCCCTGATATTCTTTGGACTCTGGAGAAGTTTGTCTTCTCCATGGGCCTCATTTTACATTTGAATGGGAAGGTGAGATGGAGTTCCCTGTATCCAGGATTTTATGCTGCTGTTCTAAGCAAGGTTAGGCCTGCTTAATAGATTATGTTCTTCTGTGGTACTGTTTAGCCTCAGTGTTCTCTGGGGAGGTTTGGCCTTTTAAAATAAAACCAATATGGAAACTGCTTTACCCCAAAGTTTGGTTCACAGCCTTCATTCTATTACCTATTAGGGCAAACAAAGTTTGGCCATGTGAACATGTCTGTTAACTGATGAGTTTGTATTGCTATCTCATGGCTAGAGTTCCAAGGTAAAAGCTATTGAATCTGTGTGTGTGTGTGTGTGTGTGTGTGTGTGTGTGTGTGTGTATGTTTAGGTGTGTTTATGTTGTACATTGATTGTTGTATGTTGTGCCTACAAAATTGGCTTATAAATAACTAAGCTCATAAATTAAGAAGTCCAAACAATTTTCAAGTTCACATGACTTAAGTAAATCTTAAACATACTGAATTTAACATTATTATCAAGATAAAAATACAAATGTTTTTGACATTGTCAGTATATATATTTATCCAGGTTTATATTTGTCTCTGCTAGATATTTTGAGGTTCCAGGGTTTGGCACAGAAGGTTATAAAACTATAAATCCAGCCAAAACAAAATGATCCTTGTGTGACTTTTTTGACAAGAATTGAGTACATGTAAATGAGAATAAACAGTTGTAGTTTTTTGTAATTTGAAATCTTAAAGTCATTTTTCATGCTCCTTGGATATCTGGGTCATTTCCAATTAAGAAAGGCTTATGATATTGGGAAACATTTTTTTAATTGTGGAATATACTCATCTATAAAATGCCAATATTTCTTGAAAATTAGTATCCTTAGAATTCTCAGGATTTCTTGCTTCCTCGTTTTTCACTAAAATTTAAGGTTAGTAAGAATAAAGATTGTAGTTAATATATGGTTATATATATAAGATGTGCCAAAGAAGATGTGTCCTTATTGAAAAAAAGAATAGTTTTGTCTAATTCAAAAGTTACCTAGGCCAGGCATGATAGTTCATGTCTGTAATCCCAGCACTTTGGGAGGCCAAGGTGAGATTGCCTGCATTCAGGAGTTTGAGACAAGCCTGGGTTACATAGCGAGAACTTGTCGCTACTAAAAATTAAAATTATCCAGGAATGGTGGCACACACCTGTAGTCCCAGCTACTCAGGAGGCTGCGGTGGGAGGATCACTTATGCCTAGGAAGTTGAGGCTGCAGTGAGCCATGATCGTGCCACTGCATTCCAGCCTGGGTGACAGAGCAAGACACTGTCTCAAAAAAAAAAAAAAAAAAAAAAAAAAAAAAAAAAAAAAAAAAAAAAAAAAAAAAAAAAAAAAAAAAGAAAGAAAAAAGTTA